CTAATACCAAAAAAAAAAAAAAAAACACGAAATTAAATAATATAGTAAAAAACAATTTGTTGATCAATCATCAGAGGAGACAGACATTTTAGTCGGGTTGCCCGAGGATATGTCATCCAAATCATTTTGAATTCGCTCATTTTCACTATAATTTTGTCTTCTTGTAAGCACATGCATATGATCTCCAGATATCATCAATGTCTCAACCATTTGGGGTGAAAGCTTACTCCGGTAATCGCTCAGCACCTGTCTACCTGCACTAAAAGCTATTTCCGATGGAACTGTAGAAATAGGAACGGCTAGTATATCAAAAGCCATCTGTGAAAACATAAGCCACATAGTTTCATTTTGTTTCCACCATTCCCAAACATCAAAATCATCAGAATCATCCACTGACGGGCTTTCCAAATAATGTTGTAGTTCAGAACTGCTTACACTTATATGTTGAGATATTCTTCTACTTTTTATTGCTGAAAAAACACTTAATCTCCCGCCTTGAGATGAGACTACTAGTGTAGTGTGTGTAAGTGTATTTACAGATGCAGTTGCCCTGTATTCTTCAAATATTCTGTTGTATGTTTGCATAATAGGGGCAAACTGTGTTTGATCAACGAAAATACGTTCTAAAAATTCTTGTTAACCAATTTCTTTACACCTAGGATCAATTATTATGACTAAACCTAAAAGATGAGGCAAATGATCAAAATATTTATCAAATAAATAGCTACATAATATTCATTACCCATATATTTTACGAAAACTTTAATTATTTTTGATAGCATATGTAAAACAAATGGTGAAGTAGGAATATATATATATATATATATATATAAGAAAATAATTTTGTTGAAGTATCAAAAACTTTTAAAAATCTTTATACAAGGCTACTTGGCGCCAATTAAGTTCTGTGGGAGTCAGTACACTTCCTATTGATGTTGTTGCAAAAAATAAATCTATTGCTCTTCTTTGTTTACAAGCTATTTTTAACATATTATATGTTGAATTCCACCTACTATCAATACCTAAAATTAATTTTTGGATGGCATGTTTTCTCGTTGACAAATTTTTCTATATTCTGAAATTCGATTAGCAGAAGACATAATAGTAACAACTGCATTTTTTATTACAAGTACGGAAGTCTCGTATACATGTATAGCTTCTTTAACAATCAAATTTAAAATATAGGCACAACAATGAACATAAAATAAATCACCATCAACAAGTAATTGTAAAGTTGATTTTAAATGGGTTACAGTTTGATTATAATATGCTGCATTATCTAAACTAATTATAAATATTTTATTTTGTAAAACCCACTCATATAATACATTTCTTATTTCTACACCAAGCAGATGTTCAGTGTATGGAAGTTCAACTAATTTAAATGAAATAATTCTTTTATTTAATTTCCAATCATTATCAATAAAATGTGCAGTGATATATTGATATTCAAAACCACTATTTGACTACAGATCATATGTTAAACAAACTCTTCCATTGAAATTTTTAAAGATGTCAAATAATTTACTTTTAACATCTTCATATTTCTTTAAAATCCTGTTTGTAGTAGTATTTCTTAAAAAGCTTTGATATTGCGGTGCAAAACTTTCATAAATCATTTCGGTAAAATCGGGACATTCACAACTAGTAAAAGGTTGTTCTTTTTTAATAATATAATCAACTATAGAATTTTGTGCACGTATAGGATCATATGAAAATGTTTGCAAATTACCAGTTAATGAAACCCCTAATTGCATTTGACTTCGAATATCAGGTTGTTAACTTTGTAAATGTTTGTAAGCATGCTTTTTTAGATTAGTACCCCCTATAGATGCAGCACTAAGTAAATGTGCACAATATTTACATTTTACTTTAAATGTAATTGTACCATTAGGATTATTTATAGATATTTTTTCAAAATGTTCCCAAACAATACTAGTTCTGCTCCTAGATGTTGATCCATTTGTTGGAAGAGGGATATTAGCAGGAGAATCAACAAATTTATATTGTGTAATATATGTATCAAGATCGACATAAATATTAGGAATATTATGATCTATAGTAATGTAAGTAAAACAATATATAAGAATTAACAGTTAATTTAAATAATGTGTGAATACAATGAGTAAAAAATAATAAAAAATATGTGCATAAATAATTAATGAAAAAAATGAGTAGCTAATAAATTTAATTAAACTAATTAATGTTACCAACTGGCGAATGCGATATAGAAATTAGCTTCTTCTGATAAAAGTTTTCTTGTTGCACAATTGCAATTGTCACTTACGAATGACACTTCAAAATTAATTGAGAGTTTAGAGAGATTGAGAATTTAAGAGAGAGAGAGAGAGAGAGAGAGAATATTATTTGTAAGATTTATTTTGGAAAAATGAAGGATATTTATAGTAGTTTGAAAGAGTAAAGTAAATTTATAAATATATATACATTACCATTTGAATTTTTTTATGACCATCTCTACTAATTTATGACCATTTGAATTTTTAATTTTTTTCTTTTTCATTCAATGAATGAAGAGTGAGTTGAGTGATTGAGATGCAACAAAGTAGGCTAGTAGGGGGCGGGACGGGGTAGGCTGCAAGCAACAAACCGTTTGAATTTTATTTATTTTTTTCATTCAATCGCGATTTCAAATTTACAAGCAAAGTGAAAAGGGGTCAGGTGATGATGTGATGATGCAGGGGTAGGTTGGGCGGGGAGGAGAGAGGGTCTAGAATTATTATATATATTTTAAAAGGAAATGACTTTTACTGTTATGTTATGTTATTTTGTTTTTGTTTTTGTTTTTTCATTTTTATTTTTGCAAGATCAATCTTTTATTTATTTTATTTGTTCATATTTTTTATTTATTTGTATTTTTTTAATTATTTAACTGTTGCAAGTTGTTTTTTATTTTTATTTTTTGAAATTTGACCATTGGTAGAGAAAAGGCCGGGTAGGGTGGGCTAGGATGGTCCAGGCTTCAAATGGAATGCCCAGGCCCAGACCCAAGGTACTGGATTGGGCTTGGGCCCGGGCCTAACCGGGCCAAAACAGGTCGAGCGCACCTCGAGCCTCACGCGGGCTTCGGACCGCCCACGGGCCATTTTTACACCCTTATCAATAGGATTCGTTTAATTGAAATTATACTCTTTTTTTTTGTGGAGATTATTGATTTAAAATTAAAAAATGCTAGAGATCTAAAAAAAAAATTCAAAATTTTTATCAAATGTCTTACATGGGTATGGAACCCACATGGTGTGTATCCCACATCTATGTAAGACATTTGGTATAAATTTTGGAAGAATTTTTAGGTATCTAACATTACTCTTTAAAATTTTTTTACAACAATATCACTCAGAGGTGATTTGAAAAACAGTTAAAAGCTAATTTTTTTAATTTTTTAAAATTTTTTATTTAAGAGATGATATAATTCAAAATAAATTTAAAATTAATTTTTTACCATTTTTTAGCTGGTTGACCCCTCAATATTACCGATGCCAATTCATTTGCCGAAACTTTAGCCATAAAGAATTCTGCTTTAATGTTCCCTTATATTTTCCGTTATACCCTCCTTTTCGTGCTCGCCAGTGGAAATTTCCTGAGGAAGGTTGGGAAAAGTGTGCCCTGATGTCGAATTGAATTGACTTGTGTGGAACAAACACCACTCGCCTTGTTAGAGGCCAATTTCAACCAGCAATGATTTAGACTATTAAAAAATATATTATTAAGAGTATATTTGGTTAGGTGGATTAGAGTATGAGATTGAGATTGTTAATTCGTGAGTCCGATTATCCTATGTTTGTTTTAACATTTTGATTTAGGATTATTAATTCAATGGATAATTAATCCAACAAATTTACAAGATTATTAGTAATAGAGTAGGGGTGACATTATTAATCCAATGGATATTAATCTAAGGGCATGTTTGATTGGGTGGATTAGAGCATATGATTGAGATTATTAATCCGTGGGCCCAATTATGCTATGTTTGTTTTAACATTTTGGTTTAGGATAATTAATCTAATCGATAATTAATCCAACAAATTTGTTGGATTATTACTAATGGGGTAGGGTGGGATTATTACTCCAATAGATATTAATCTAATTGGATAGTGAATACCACACTAATTTAATAGGATTATTAATACTTCACTATTAATTTTGTGAATCAAACATGACCTAATTAGATAGTGAATACTACACTAATTTAATAGGATTATTAATACTTCACTATTAATTTTGTGAATCAAACATGGCCTAATAGTACTAATGCATTGGGAATGACAAAAAAAAAAAAAACCAAAACAAAACAAAAAAACAAGGCATAGAAAGTGGACAGGGCCCACTGCCACATCATTAGTGCTCCTCCTAGTGCTCCATTTTTAGTCCTCCAAAGCATTTTTCCAACAAAAATGAGTAAGATCACTAAAAAGAGAAACACTAATAACTTTAAAGTGATGTGGGTCCCACATGATAAGATGTTTTGCTCTGGTTTTTTTTTTTTTTTTTTTGAATTTTTACTTAATTAGTAATCCATTAGTGCTCCCAAATTAGTGGGATGAATCATTCTTGTTTTTCCAATTTCAACAAGCAACCAATGTCTCAAATATTCAGGGTTGGTTTGGGATGTCCTAAAAAAGTGCACTTTTTAACTTATTGGTGGGTTTGGGTTGGGTTTGGGTTGAGTTTGATGTGATGTGTTAGAGAGGTGATGTGATTTAAATAAGATGATGTGACTTAAATAAGATAGTGACTTTTTGACTTTTTAACTTATTTAGTATATGCTAAACTAGCCCTCAATAATGTACGCACAATGTTTGAAACAGAGAGCACTCATCAAAACACACTCACAAAACCAAGTTCTATATACAATAGCTTAATCTGATTGATAAAAAATAATTCAAGCCACACACTGAGAGTTGAAGCAAGATTATAAAAAATAATTCAAGCCACATACTGAGAGTTGAAGCAAGATTGAAACATACTCTCCCAAGTCCCTCATGTCTGTGCACTCATCCCCTATAGATAAAGTTGCCGCCAACGATGACATCTTAACCCAAATTCTCATAAAGTTACCAGTAAAATCACTCCTGCGATTCAAGTCCGTATCCAAACACTGGCTCTCTCTCATCGTCAATCCCCATTTCGCACGTTGCCGGAATCCCAACTCCAGCTTTGTCTCCGGCCTATTCTTGTACTCGTCCAAGAGACGTCGTAACCCAGAACTCAATTTCATCCCTCTTCAAAACAATGAAAATCCAAGCGACGACGGTGATGATGCTTACTTAGCACCTCTCACGACGATTCCAAGTCTATCACGTAAAGAAATTTTTAGCTCATGCCATGGATTGTTATGTTGTTCTAGCTATTCCAACCTTGAAGGCGACTATCAATTGCGCTATCATATCCTCAATCCCACCACCAAGCAATTCAAGTCTCTTTCTCAACCCCGTGATGGCCATAAGGGTTTCAATTTAGTGTTTGACCCGTCAAGATCACCTCACTACAGAGTTGTCGGCGTTTGGCGTGTTGATTGTGATGATTTAGTTTTGTCGATTGACTCTGATCAGAACAAGCTTTATTATCAAATTGAGATTTACTCATCTGAGACCGGTTCTTGGAGGGCTTGTGCCGAACCTTTCACCGCTAATCGAAATTCCCAATTTCATAGCGGGGTCTATTGGAACGGTGCGATTAACTGGTTCAACACATTTGGGGACTCATTGTATTTCAACATGGAGGATGAGCGTGTTAGAACTATTCCAATGCCTCCGATTCCTCATGGGGATTGGAAAGGGAGGCCATTTGGGTATTACGGGGAGTCGAACGATCATTTGCATTTTGTTGAGATATACAATCCAGGGATTCAATTCGATGTTTATGAGATAGAAAGAGATTACTCTGGCTGTTTTGTGAAGTACCATGTCGATCTTGGTTCAGTTGGAGCTGCGTTTCCCCAGATGATGCAGAGGCTCTCGTGGAACCCAATGTATTACTCGTTCGCTATACTTTCGCTTGTACGAGAGAAAAAAGATGATGACTCGTTTATGGTGCTGCACATACCGGGTAAGATTTTACGGTACAATCTTGGTGATAAGAGTTTCGAGAAGATATGTGATGTTTGTGCAGAGCATTGCGATGGTAATGGCATGATTGAGGATTCTTTTATGTATTTCTGGTTTCACTCCTTCCAATACATTGAGTCTGTCTCTTGTATATGAATGTGGTTTTTTGCTTTAAATCAGTGAATTAATTCAGTTCTTGAATTCTCCTTTTGTTGTTTCAGGTATTGAAAATTGATTGTGTTTGTTGCTGTAATATGATAATATATATATACATAAATGATACAACCTTTGGTATTTAATGTGGTGATTATGTCAGTTATTTGAAGCCACTTATACTTTTGAAGGGAATTTAAAAATTTTGATCTGCACAGTTGCATGTTTCAAGAATATTTTGTAAAAAATTCAAAAAATTATAACCATAGAGACTGTTAATTTGAAAATCAAGGTTGGTGTCCAAATCTTAAGAGTACAAAAAAAAATCTTAGAACCGGAAATCAGACTAATTTGAATGGTTCTACCATTTCCGAAAGCAAAACCAAATTAATATAAAAATCAGACCAAACCAAACTAATATAAAAACAATACCAAACTGAAAATTTAGATTATAAATTGGATCGATTTACTGGTTCTACCCATTTTTGTGAACACCTCTAATATCTCCAAGCTCTAATTTCTATCTTTCTTCCTTTTTCTATAAATTCCAATTAGTTCCTTTGAATTCTATCCGTTCCTCTCTTTTTCATATCCAATTTCCAAATGGATTGTGAGTTACAAACACAGTTTTTGTTGGACTGTGCAACTCTAGTTTTCTTAGAATTTATAGTTATTGTGGGGATATATTTTCTGTATACCAGCACGTGGCATGGTGACGCCGACGTGTCAGCCGAGGTGCCACGTGCCCTGGTAGTTAAGCCGAGGTAATCTCGGAGAAGCCGAGGTCATCTCCGAAGATATCGGAATCCGAGATATGGGGCAAGAGTCCTAAGGCACAAAGGGGACTGAATTAAGATAAGGATAAAACTTTCAAGGAGTTTATCTATATCACTTAAAAGAGTCTAGAGTAAACAGTGAACTAGAATCCATAGAAGTCATACTTCTAGTGGGACTTGGATTGAGTATATTATAAAAGAGAGGCACCCCCATGGGTCTAAGGTATGTAACTTATACTTTGAGTATTCAATTTGGTACTTGATTATCTTTGAGAGATATACTGACTTGATCGTCGGAGTGCCCCCCGGGTGGAAGAACTACCGCCGGAGCTTTTTCTTTCTGTTTCAGGTTACTTTAGCCATCTATTTTGCTTGTGCTCTCCAGCTGATCACTAAACGGGCAGTGTGGTCAGATTTTCACCCACACAATTACCAAAAACAGGCGTCAGAAATAAAGTATTAAAGTCTTAAGTAAAAACAACTAAGTGTTGACTCAGGGCTCTTACTCTTGCCCTCTGTAAGTGTTCGAGGAAGAGGGTAGAGGTGGACATCTTCATCTGGGCCAAATTCCCAATTTCCAGAAGCAATGAGAAAATCATCTCCAGCCCCCTTGTTGGAGTCTGGGAGGTCGGCTATAATTTTGTACTGAGTGGATCTCGGCTTAAGGTAATAGACAAAACCCCTATCCGGCTAGACCGAGATCACCGTTTAAACACTCGTTGAAACTTGAGAAAAAGTTTGCAAAGTTAACATTGAGTAGTATATGTTTCACACCTGTTAGAATTTATGAAAAGTTTGCAGGTCAGTATCTTGCCGAAGTAAAAGTTTTGTAGCTATTATACCCGAGGTATGTAACCCCGAGAA